AAGCTGCTTAAAGACCACTAGTTGTAATATGCTACCTTTACAGAAGGTGAACGTGCTATCCATATATCGACAGTAAAGTGTTGCGTCATTCTTTATCTATTATTCAGATCTTTCTGGTCAGTTGATTTTTGAAATTTTAATTTGTCATCTAAAATGGTACCTATTTTTTCAATATAATCACTTTTATTAAAAACAACCCCTGTTGTAATAAATAACGTTTCGTCCTTTGGGCGCATGTGAATAACTTTCGTAAACTTCATCTAAAGAATGCTTTTGGAGTTACATTTACTGCTTTTACTCTGATAACAACAGTCTACAAGATCGGACTTTAACTGTTCAAGTTCCTGATCAGAAATCGCAACTGGATACCTTGTTTGACTATATAGGTTTTTGAACTGAATATCTGTATCTATGTGGTTAGAATGATTCCTTAAGTTTTGTTACATAGTCCGTGAAGGGAATTCTTGGATCATCCGTTGGCTTATTTTATGCGAAAAACATTCATACGTATCTTTGCAATTTTAGAATTCAAGGCATCCGTTTTGTTCAGTGTCACTCTATTCTGATAGACTCCGTTCTGTTGTTATGAAGTATATCACAATTCCGGATAACGATGTGATTCGATGTAGGTGTTTATAAATTCCATAGCAGTTTTCTCTGATGATCAATAATCTTGTTCACTATTTATTTGAAAAGCTTTTCCATTAGGATTAATTCCTTCTCCTGTTTTTTTTGTCTCCGATTCGATTTAAAAAAATTGAAGTCAAAATAATGAAAACTTAACTGTTCAACGCAAACAACAACGTTGACAACAAGAATAACTAAATGAGTTCAAATGAAATGTGGTTGGAAACAACAAAACATCATGTCTTGCACAATAAAAAAGTTAAAGCAACCATACACATTCAAATTGATTTTTAATTCCATTTTATTATTGTATTCAAAGAAAAGAAATTCGAAACTTTATAATGTCTTCTATTTTGTTTGCTTGTTTGTTTTTTTTATTTCACAAAGAAAATGTCGACATTTTTTTCTCTTATTCTATGTAGTTTACTACTAGTTAATTAATTTCTTCTTTCTTTGGACACCTTTTTATAAAAGCTGCAATCATACTTAATTGTTGTCTTTTCTTGTTGTTCCCGTAGAATAAACTGGAAAAAAGATTCATTTCAAACTCATATAAAATCCTAATAGCTGAATTCATGAGTTGACTTAAGTATAGGACGGCCGTTTCGTCCCAGTATGGAACTCCCCAGCAGTTCACATCCATGATAACGCACGGGAAACGTAAACTCGGGATCTTTGATCACGCGAGCGAACATTTAACCTTTAGACTACTAAGCCGACATCCAAAAGTGTTAATGTCTGACTTCAATTTTTCCTTGTAAAAAGGCAATTGTCATATAAATATCTAAAGATTCCCATTGTGAAAATTAGAACAACACATATAAGCGAACAATTGTTTTCAATTAGATCGTCATCAGGCTTTACTCTAATATACATGAATATTTATACGAAAAATTTTAAACCAATAAAGGCAATATGGGTCAATTGGCCAATTTCCTTAAAGACCTAACGAAAAAGGGAATAATTACGACTGAGATTTACGATTCAATTAAGCCGACTGGATCATTTACACCACGATTGTATGGTTTGCCTAAAGTACATAAATCGGGTCTTCCTCTACGCCCAGTTCTAGATATGTACAATTCTCCTTACCACAAAATCGCAAAGTGGCTAGTACGAATGTTAGAACCTTTACACAAATCAGTTGTTAGAAATAGTGTAAAAGATGTCTTCACCTCCAAAGTAGAAAATATTAATGTCAGTATGAAAAATATGATCCCATTGCATGTAGAATCTTTGTTCAACAACGTACCACTTTTAGAGACTATTGATTTTATATGCAAGCAAATATCAAAAAACAAAACAAATCAACATTGGCTTGCCTAACGATAGCCTAAGAGAACTGCTCCTAAGATGCACTCTGAATGTACATTTTGTCTTCAACAATACTTACTATAGACAAATAGACGGGATAGCCATGGGCTCGCCTCTAGGCCCGATTTTAGCTGACCTCTTCCTAACAAAGCTAGAAAACGGACCTCTCAATGAGACTATTAAGAAACTGGATTTATATTGCCGATACATTGACGACACATTCATTATCGTAGATCAAAACACTAGTAAAGAGGAACTCCTAGACCAATTCAACAGTGTTCACCCAGCGATCACTTTCACTGGTGAAAGCGAGCATGATAAGAAGCTGAGCTTCCTTGACGTCACACTAAGCAGACGAAGTGACGGCACATTAAGTAGAAGCGTGTATAGAAGAAACCCCTCTTCATGCCAATATACTCACTTCTGCAGTTTCACACCCATCCGTTACAAGAGAAATTTGGTCAGATGTCTCACGAGCAGAGCAAAAAAGATCTGTACAGTAGACACTCTAAGTCAGGAACTTGAATTTATCAACAACTCACTGACCGAGATCGGCTACCCCAGCGCGTTCATTAAGAAGTACATCCAGGATATAATAAAGAAGTCGGAGATTTCGACTGTTCGTAAGAAACCTTTATACATGAAAGTGCAATTCAACGGGGATGTGGCTAGTGACACTCTGAAATATAGGTTAACCAAAGTAATCACCAGGACATTCTACGCAGCCAATCTTGCGTTGACCTTCTCTTGTCGACCAGCGATGTCTACTCAAACGAAGGATAAGTTACCTGAGTTGGCCTCTTCCATGTGCATTTACAAATTCAGCTGATCCTGTGGAGATAGCTATATAGGGCGTACTACCAGGCAAATTAACCAACGAATGAGTGAACACCTACCAAATTGGTACATAAAGGGCCAGAGAAAAACTATTCGCAGTTCTATATTGGCACATCTTATTGATAGCGGTCATGCAGTAGATAAATCGAAATCATTTCGAGTTATCTATTGTATACCTCCATCATTTCCCGACGGAGTCCGTTCCCGTCTCCTATATATAGCTGAAGCCATTGGAATTCGTACATATAACCCCAATTTATGTGTACAAAAGAAATACGTGACTCCCCTATCCCTTCCATGGCCAGTTATAACTTAACTAACAATTATTATTATTATTATTATTATTATTATTATTATTATTATTATTATTGTCATTATTTATTTTATTCTATTTGTGTTATCATTAACCTTATTTCCACAACCATTATTTGTTTGTAATTTTCCGCCTCTTTGTATTCTTCACTATCTAATTATTTACACACATCTTATTACGTAATAATTTAAATGTTTTGTGATTACTATTCCAAGTCTATTTACCCACGTTTGTTTGACCTTCTAGTGCCAACGTTTAACTATTGATAAGAGTTTTGTTATTGTATTTTATTATTCTCACTATTATCAGTTCACCTGTCTTCCTACTACTATCAACTTGTACTTTTACCTATTTTATGTGTAGAGACTGATTCTATTTCATTGTGATGATTGACCCATATTGCCTTGATTGGTTTAACATTTTCGTATAAATATTCATGTATATTAGAGTAAAGCCTGATGACGATCTAATTGAAAACAATTGTTCGCTTATATGTGTTGGGTCTGACGGTATCAACTTTATCAGTTGATTGAAAAAGTTGAACATTTCAGATCGGATGTTTATATGTGGTTGATAAACTGAATAATAAGAATTAAAAAATACAACACAAGTAAATAAATATTTCTTTTCCGTTTGTTACTCATCAACGTTCTATACTAATATATAGATACTGGACTTAATCAATACTTGATAAATCATGGTTAATCAATCTAACAATATAATGATCAGTTAGTAGCAATAAAATGTGCAATTAAAATTAGGTAATCAGCTCATCAAGCATTTTGTGTAAGATTAAAATTAGAAATCAAAGTTGAACAACAATGATTATGTGAAAAACTCGAAAAAAAGTTTGTAAAATAGGTCATTGACCATGCAGAAGGTCAAGGGGAATTAAGAGGCTTTACAAACTTATTCTGTATATAAAGGTTAGGCCTTTTGATTTATATTCCCAAGGATCTAAATTTGGAAAACCTAGGGTAGGTTCAATAGAAATCTGTAGATCACTTTAAAAACTGAATTTGTGTTGACATCGTGATCAGTACCAAGTGGGCGGGCCAAAATAGAGTTTGTTATTATTTTCTTTTGTCTTTTGACCAACCATGAAAGGTTATATTCAAAAATACGAATGAGCACTGCAAAAGCAGTTGAAATGTTAAATACATATGGAGGCCGCTGAATCAGGCAATTTATCTTTATTTCGTTAATTAAATATTTTATCACTGATGAAAGAAGGGTATAACGTTGCTTCATCAAATTTACGTCTTATTGCTTCTCTTATACGTCGAATTACTGCTTTTATGACTATGTTACCTTTGGACTGTAATTTCAGGAATGAAGGCATTTTAGCACCATCGGTAGTTTTAACTAAGATTTAGTTCTAGACATATGCTTTGTTAGGAACTGTTATATGTACCCTTGTTTACTTAATAAGCCACTGATGAGTTTTGGCCGCGTATTTAGAGCGTTATCCAAACAAATAGTTTTGCCTCTGTTGGGATACTCAGAAAAATATCCCAGAAACAATTATCCGGTTAAGTCTAACGCTACCCTTGAACGTTAAATGGTGTCATTTCCCTATTGGTCGTTTCCCTACTGATCAATATTTATTTCGCGTGTCATTTTCCTATTGGTCAATATTATTTAACGTGTCATCTTTCTGTTGGTCAATATTTATAGTAATCCTAACTGTATAAATATGCATTTGTTTGTAAGTCATTATTCTGCTGCTCCTGACCCCATAAACGATTTTTCATCTACGGTTCGTGTTCTGATATATTGGAGATTGGGAACAGTATTGGGGTCGAACTAGGATATCTGAAGCTTGTCAATTGGTAGAATTTAGAGTAGCCAACTCGCGATTCACAATAAATTTGGCGACGGAGATTTAGCAACAAGCTTGTGATTAACTATGGATCCATCCAAATTAGAAAAATTGTTCGAACAGCAGCTGAAGCTGATGGAGATGATTACTCAGACGCACATATCTTCTCGAGTCCCAACTGCACCGACAATTCCTGAATCAGTTGATGGTATTACCAGTGGTATTTCAGAATTTCTTTATGATCCTGATGCCAACATTACATTTGATACCTGGTTCAGACGTTATGAAGACCTTTTCAAAGTTGACTTTGCTGATAGAGATGATTCGTGGAAGGTGCGTCTTCTTCTCCGTAAACTTGGTCCATCCGAGTTGGATAAGTATTGCAATTTCATTCTACCGCAGAACCCACGCGACCGTTCATTCGACGCCACTATTCAGTCCCTTAGCCAACTTTTTGGTGATCATCACTCACTCTTCAGTACCCGATATCGCTGCTTAAAACTGGTCATGAATGAATCTGATGGCTTCCTGACCCACGTCGGCGTTGTTAACCGTGAGTGCGAACGGTTCAAGCTCAAGACCAATTCAAGTCCCTAGTACTCATATGCAGTCTTCAGTCACCCAAATTCTCCGACATCAGAACTCGGTTGCTCAACCTCCTTGAACAAGATCCAACACTGACACTTAATGCGATCATAGACGAATACCAGCGTATCATCAATCTGCAGCGTGACACCACTTTGGTTCAATCTGGGGGCCAAGGTGGTTCCGAAGTTCATGCTGTTCAGCACCAAAAAAATCTTCGAGATCGACAAACTCGAGTTCTTCGAACGCCAGCGCTGTTTCTATCTCTAATCACTCTAAACCGGCTCAAAAGCCCCCCTCGCCATGTTGGCACTGTGGAGCCTGGCATTATGTGAAGTTCTGTCCATTCAAACAGCATGTGTGCGATCGCTGTCAGAAAGTTGGTCACAAAATCGGCTTTTGCAAATCCAACCGATACAATAACCGTCAAAATGTACAGACGCAGCGTCGTTTTCACAAAAAGCCGATTACCTCATCAAGGAGTTTAGCAGCAGTCTTCCATACTCATGCCGCGACTCGACGCAAATTTCTGACCCTCTCAATCAATGGTCAGCCAGTTCGTTTGCAGTTGGACACTGCATCAGATATCACCATTCTGTCGAAAAAGACTTGGCGAATCTTGGGCCAACCTCCCATCAAACCATCCTCTCAAACAGCCGTCAGTGCCTGTGGGGGTCATCTCCGCCTTCATGGTGAACTCTATTGCTGCATTTCATTCAGAGTTACAACCTTCAATGGGACATGCTACATCACCAATTCTCCGCTCAACCTTTTAGGTTTAGATTGGTTCGAAGAACTTGGTCTCGCTGATCTTCCTATTAGCGCTATCTGCAATCAAGTCCAAACGACTACTTCTACACAACAGCATGCTGAAGACCTTCGAAAACGATTTATTGAACTATTTAAGCCTGGTCTCGGACTTTGTTCCACAACTGAAGCTGTTTTAAAACTGCAGGCAGAAGCTACGCCAGTTTTTCGCCCAAAGCGTCCAGTCCCATACGCATCTTTACCTCTGGTTGACGCTGAACTTCAACGTTTGGAAACTGAAGGTGTCCTAGTACCTGTTTCTTATTCATCATGGGCTGCACCAATTGTGGTTGTAAAAAAATCCAATGGTTCCATACGCATCTGTGCAGACTTTTCCACAGGACTCAACGCGGCTCTACAACAGCATCACTATCCGCTACCGATCCCAGATGACTTATTTACTATTTTAAATGGTGGTACCTACTTTGCTAAGCTGGATCTGGCAGATGCTTACCTTCAAGTTCCAGTCGCTCTCGAATCGAGAGAGTTGTTGACAATCAACACTCACCGAGGACTTTTTCAGTATACCCGGTTACCCTTCGGTATCAAAACTGCTCCAGCGATCTTCCAGCAGATCATGGACACTATTCTGGCAGATGTTCCTGGTGTTGCTACATACCTTGATGATGTGCTCATTGTCGGCTCAACTGCTGATGAATTGCATACCAGAACCCACTTAGTTCTGCAACGCCTCCAGGATAATGGTTTTCGCCTGCGCCCAGAAAAATGCCAATTCTTCTTACGTTTCGTTAAGTACCTGGGGTTTATCTTCGATGCTTCCGGACGACACCCAGATCCTCAAAATACTTACGCAATCCAACAAATGCCTGCTCCCACTGATGTCTCTTCACTCCGATCATTTTTGGAAATGATTAGCTACTATTCAGCATTTCTTCCATCACTGCATGACTGTACGATATCCATTAAATCGTCTGCTAGAAAAGAATGCTACTTGGGATTGGTCAACGCAATGTGAGTCAGCCTTTTCAAAACTTAAAGCTATGCTAAGTTCCAATCTTCTGCTAACCCACTACAATCCGAAACTACCCATTGTGGTTGCTGCTGACGCTTCAACACATGGACTGGGTGCCGTAATCTCACATGTCTTTCCCGGCGGGTCAGAGAAAGCGGTGATGCACGCTTCGAGAACACTAACACCTGCTGAGAAACGCTACGGCCAGATAGAGAAGGAAGCGTTAGCCCTACTTTTTGCTGTCCGGCGATTCCACAAATTCATTTATGGGCGCCGTTTCACTTTGCTCACAGACCACCAGCCGTTGTTATCAATCTTTGGATCAAAGAAAGGCATTCCTGGCCATTCTGCTAATCGTCTTCAACGTCGGGCGTTGGCGTTATTGGGGTACGACTTCGACATCCAGTATCGACGTTCCGAAGATTTTGGTCAAGCAGATGCACTGTCCAGACTTATCAGTAACCATTCTACCACTGATGAGGACACACTTATAGCCATAGTATCAACCGAAGAGGATTCCGGTGCTACACTATTGGCGAATGCCGTTCGAGCAATGCCTGTTACCGCTGAAGATGTTCGGGAAGCTACCAGAGAAGACCCGATTATCCAAAAAGCGATCACCTATGTTCAGGGCAGATGGCCAGTTAAGCAGCTGAGTGGTGATATGCAACAGCTAGCAAATCGTCGCAGCGCTCTCTGTATTGTTAACGATTGTCTGATGTTTGGTGATCGCGTAGTAATTCCAACAACCCTACGTTCCAAAGTCCTACGCCAATTCCACTCTGGACACCCAGGGATAAACCGTATGAAATCTATCGCTCGAAGCTATGCATATTGGCCAAATATGGACAAGCAGATTGTCGACTTTGTCAAAAGATGTTCACATTGCCAAAAAGCTGCGAAAAATCCTCCTAAGTTGCCTCCAGTACCCTGGCCAAAGTCAGAAAAACCCTGGTCGCGAGTGCATATTGACTTCACCGGACCCCTAGATGGTACCACATATCTGATACTGGTTGACTCATACTCCAAATGGCCGGAGATATTGCCGATTGCACCACCCTCTACAACTCGAACCATCAAACTCCTCAATCGGATCTTCGCTCAGCATGGTCTTCCAAAAACAATAGTAACAGACAATGGTTCACAATTCACATCTAGCCAATTCCGAGAATTTTGCCTGCAAAATTCGATCAGCCATGTTCGTTCTCCGCCATATCACCCCCAATCTAATGGACAAGCTGAAAGGTTCGTTGATACATTTAAACGAGCCATGCTCAAAGCACGAGGGGAGGGGACCACAGAAGATATCATAGAACGATTCCTAGTCGCGTACCGGACGACCCCGCATGACTTATTGCCAAACTCCAAATCCCCTGCTGAGATGCTTATGGGGCGAAAGCTACGGACAGTTCATGGTGCGATGAAACCCAAGAAAGTGGCCCAGCAAAGCCCCCAGATGAAGAATACTCGAATTCCCTACGAAGTTGGTACAAAAGTGTATGCGCGAGATTATAGACATGGATGCGATAGATGGGTAGAGGGTGAAATCACACAAAAACATGGGAACGTCATGTATGATGTCAAGGTGAACCAAGAAATCTGGACCAGGCACCACAATCAACTCAGGTCAAGGGAAGCAAAGGAGAAAGAAGCAATTACAAAACATGTCCCACTCGACTTGCTGTTGGACACGTTTCAGCTTCCGCCAATACCTCCAACAGAGACGACTAAGTCATCTACTCAAGTAGAACATCCTTCTGGTTCTGTGTGGTTGCCTCGGAGGTCGGATCGCAAAAGAAGACACCCAAAGAAACTTCAAGTAAACCCTCGGTTACGTCGCTATTAACTTCTCCAAAGGGGAGGTGTTGGGATACTCAGAAAAATATCCCAGAAACAATTATCCGGTTAAGTCTAACGCTACCCTTGAACGTTAAATGGTGTCATTTCCCTATTGGTCGTTTCCCTACTGATCAATATTTATTTCGCGTGTCATTTTCCTATTGGTCAATATTATTTAACGTGTCATCTTTCTGTTGGTCAATATTTATAGTAATCCTAACTGTATAAATATGCATTTGTTTGTAAGTCATTATTCTGCTGCTCCTGACCCCATAAACGATTTTTCATCTACGGTTCGTGTTCTGATATATTGGAGATTGGGAACAGTATTGGGGTCGAACTAGGATATCTGAAGCTTGTCAATTGGTAGAATTTAGAGTAGCCAACTCGCGATTCACAATAGCCTCTAAGGATCAAGCATTCTACTAAGTTTCCGTTGCATTATAATGGGGCAAAGCTCAAAAACTGTGTTCATTAGTTTTGTTTAATTAGTTTACGATCAACATTTTCTTTTATTGTCCCTTCCGTTCTCGTCAATCAAACATCTAGAAAGGAGATGAGATTGTAGTTTTATTCTTCTCCCTTGTCTAGGCTTTACCATATCCATATTGTGTATAAGTCCTATTGAGTCAATTGTCGTTCAGTCTTTTGAAGATGATTTCTGAAGTTTGCTTTGATCACCAATTATTGTACTCTTCTTTTCTATATAGACTGTCTTATTCATCAGAATTAATTCTGATAGTTTGGGAAGTTGCCAAGTTTTTGTTTCTCCTTACTTTACGCCAAGATTATTGGTGGCTTTTGATCAGAATACTGTCTTTGCAGTATTTAGAGTTCATATATTTATAGTAAAAATCTACACCCTCATCGTTCAGTGATATTACACCTCTAGTTTGTGCGTGAATGATTTGAACCAAATTTGCATATCCATTTTATTAACATGATTACAATTACCACAGTATATGGGACCAAAAGATAATTAGAATTAGTATATTTTTAGAATTATGGCTAACAGAGGAATCCAGGATGTATGATTTGTCCCTATTTCTTGAGACTCTCCAGTTTGATGTACTTTCATTCGAATATTTATGTTTACATTAAGACTGGAAGTCAGTACTCTTCACTTAAAACGCCAATGAGTTATCCTCTAGGTTTCTATGTTTATTTACCTACTAACACATTAATAGGGTGTAATATTTATCAGCAGTTTTGTGTATAATTCTTTTTCTGAATGTTTAAGACTGACTTTTAATCAGTTTTTATAGAATCCATATAAACCAACATAACCAAGAAATCAGTCTTAAATATCGTTAAAAATGGCGATACAATAAGCTACGAATAAGTATTCCATCTAATGAATAGATTAGTGTCCAAATGAAGGCAGCACATTAAA